CCTCTCTACTAAAAATTTGCCAATCCTATTTTATATATAGTACTGTGTTAGAAGGCTGATTAAGAATTTATAACACAGTAATGTTTTTATGTTATGTCTGTAACTGAATTGTCCCTAAAAAGGCAGCCTAACAAAATGTAACAGGTGTGATACTATGAAGCAAAAATTATTTTTTAAAAATTGGAACCATTTTTAGTTAAGTAAGTGACTAAAGAAAAAATGTATTTTGTTGTTTATGCAAGGGTTTTATAGGAAAGATGGCCAAAAGTTTCATATGAAAAATATTTGGATTATATCAATAGCCTAAATATTAGTAAGATATTTGCTATTTTAAAAATGTATTTACACAGAATCATAATGGAATTGGAATTGACCGTTTGAAAACTGAAGTTTTTAACTGCTTGGTTTACTAACATCATCAGTTTAGGGACTGTTTGAATATAGCTACATGTTTTCTTGTGCGTCCCCTATTATTTCAGGAAAAGTACTACTCATGTGAATTCTCTTCCAAAATTGTGATATTTCTTGTATTTTTGATGAAGGAGAAATACTGTAATGATCACTGTTTACACTATGTACACTTTAGGCCAGCCCTTTGTAGCGTTATATAAAACTGAAGGTCTTTTGTGCTTTCAGTTTGTATAAAAAAGCTTTGAGATTAAAGGAAAAAATTTTACACTGTGGTTATAAATTTCAAGTTTCTTAAAGCTTTTGTAGACTTGTAACAAAGTCTTTAAATTTTAGTTGGATTTTGTAAATTGTTTTGTATATTTTATTTAATGTACTCTTAAACAGCTGATGTATCTGGCTTTAAAACATCAGAATCAGTTTGTTTCGTTTGGTACAGAGGAGCATTTGGTAGTGTTAATTTTAATTTTATTATATAGGAGCTGAAACATCAAATATATATTTTATCATTATGCTACACAATCAGTGCTATAATTTTTTTTATGCAAAGAAACTTTCTTAATGTTTGAATCATGTTTTCTCAGAGTGACACTTTTTGTTGATAATACCAAGTATGAGCTCTCTGCACCATTATTCCATGAACCAGTTTTAATACATACCTATGTATGCTCTTCAGAAATGGAAGTTATTTTTTAATCAACAATGAGGCCTATTATAAATTTAACAAACTGAGTCTGGATAGCTTTATAGCATATAAAATATATTAATTTGTGTTAGCAGGTGCACATTTCACCACTGAAATTAGAAATATTCTGACAGTCTTTTCTGCATACCATTCTGAATCCACTTTTCTCTTATAAGAATCGTAAATTTCAGTGTCCTTTATTTGACTCAGTGGGATATAGCTGTTATAAGTAATAGGGCACAGATGTGCAGTAGAGTCTTGTTTAATGACATTTCACTGTTCATTCCCTTTGCCACTGTTATAATACTTTTCTTTATTGTAATTATCAGTGCAAAACTATGTATTTATCATGGTAGAACTCCAGTGTTAGAGTAGTTTTTTCTTACAATATACTTTCTTTGGTTAGGTTTGTGTATGTGTTGCTGATTACATTAGAACTTGATGTTAAGTCATTATTTATCACACTCTCATGAGAGCAGTAATAAAAGTGTGTAATCTAGGAGAAAAAGTTAATTTGTCAAACTTAGATAAGCATGATGTTTAGGTCCTATTTTTCAATTTTATAACTGTTTTATTGCAACAATATTTGTATTTAAGTCTTCATTTTAATGCCTTGTGGTGTTTTTTTTTATGCATGTCACTAAGTTGTCATCCCACATAAATTGATGTGCAGCATAGGGTATTAAATCTACATAATGATTTTAAAACAGAAATAGTTGATGGTAAAATGTAAATGTTTTGCAAAAATTCCTTATAAAAAGTTTTGTAGTAACATTTCACTTGTAAATTTTTTTTGTAAAAAAAGAAAATGGAAAAAAAAAAGATGACTTCAGAAAAAAATCCTGTTTCCCATATCCTAGGATTTAGACAATTATTCTGCCAGCAAAGCCTCTGGGGCTGTAATTGACATTTTTACAGTGCTGATTTGTATAAATTTTGTTTTTTGTGGATTTGGAAATAAAATCATGTACAAGTTGTTGCCTGCAATAACAATTGCAAGTAACCTATAAAAATTCCCTTGAGTTTAACATGTTTCTTCATTTAATAATGTATACTAAAGCAGCAATAAATTCTTTGAACTATCAACCTTCTTATCACAGTGAACACTGGAAAGAAAATGCTTCTCACTAGAAAACGTATTGGCAACTCTTCATAATTCCTGATGTTAAGATCTGGTCCCCATTTCTCTGAGCAGACTGCCAGAGAACACCAGTTCAGATTTCATGCTAATTTGTAACCATTGCTGTAGACATTTATGGGAATTAAAATTTGATTTAGGGACACTTTTTAACTTAAATACTTTTGAGCAATGAATTTTAGGAAATTGTAGGAATTGCTAAAAATGAAAACTAATTAAAACATAATTTAAGGTCACAGATACACTAAGAAGCAAGGTATGCCACAGAGATGCTACAAAAATCTGTATGCAAAGGCTGTTGTCTTTTGCTCCTGGGAGGGTCCTGCAAATCTCATGAAGAACCTTACTGATATAATAACTATGTTATGATAACAACTTTGGTGAAAAAGCAGTAAGGTTTTTAAAGATGTGTGAAAACTAAAGTATACCTGAAAAAAATGTACATTTGGAAGCATAGGATGATCTTTTATAAAAGGGGGGGATAATGCAATTAGAAAGTTTTAACATTTTGTGTTGTTTTTTTTTATATATTTTTTTTGATTTTAGAGAGTAAGGGAGAGAGAAACATCAGTGTTGAGAATCATTGCTTGGCTGCCTCCTGCATACCCCACACTGGGGATGGAGCCCACAACTTGGGCATGTGCCCCGACTGGGAATTGGAATCAAACCATGACCTTCTGGTTCATAGGTCAATGCTCAACCACTGAGCCACTCTGGCCAGGCTGTTTTAATTTAGTAAAGCCAGTTTGATTCTGGGAATTCTGAGCACCACATAACCATGAACAAAACAGAGTGATGCTTTTTGTTTTCATGCACTAGAGGCCTGGTGCATGAAATCCGTGCATGGATGGGGTCCGTAGGCCTGGACAGCAATTGGGGCCAATCAGGTTCCCTGCCTCCCCACCGCCTCCTTCCCTTGCTGCCTGCATCTGCTGCCGCCCACACCCGATTCCCCGTCCCAGCCCAGGGCCCAGACCCAATTGGCTGATCAGGGCCTGCTGGCGGGGTAGGGGGAGGAACCAGGAGGTTGGCCGGCAGGCCCCATTGGCAATCAGGGCCTGCAGGCTGGGGGCAGCTCCTGCATTGAGGGTCTGCCCCCTGGTGGTCAGTGTGCATCATAGCGACCAATCAGTCCGTAGTAACAGTTGCTTGGGCTTTTATATATACAGAAGATTATTGATATAAAACTATTGACAGGAATGTCAAAGCTGTGCTAAAAGCAACGCTAATATATGGTGTGGTTTAGAATGCCACTCATAATTATCCTAGCATTTGACAAACTATTACCTTCAACAAAGATAACTTTAAGAAATCAGAAAAAAAGTATAGCTTGTTTGTTATTTGTACTTAAAAGTTCAGATTCTTAAAGGGGTGGAGAAACTTAAGATGCAAGAATCGTGAAATACTTTATTCAAAACATCTGAATCACGTATTTACTGCTCAAGGAGTAATATCTGTTGGTATACACACAGCTAACTTGTAATCGCATAACAGGATTTCTAAGGCATATGTTTCTTTTTTTTTTTTTTTTTAAAGATTTGCTAATTGGTATAGGCCTTAGGCTGTGTTCCTCTTGGTATCAGTTGGCAATGAAGTAATTTAATTTTTGGATACCTGAGAGTGCCAAGGAACTTAACAAAGAAGGGAGCGAGGGAGGAAAATCAATCTTGTAAACCTTTATTTTTGTCTAAGGTAATAGTTTGTCAAATGTTGGATAATTTTTCCTGGAAGTAAAAAATGTTCCAATTAATGAAATTACTAGATCTTAGAATATTAATATATGCTCCAAATTTTCATGTTTAAAAAAAATCACGGTACATTGTCCTTTCCCCAGTGAAGTCAGCCAGGAAAATTGTGTGGCTGTCAAAATTTTCACATGAGTCTATATTTGAAATGTTCCATAGAAACAAAATATTTTACCAGAATAATTATTTTCAAGGAAACATATAGCTGTGTTTCCCCCAGTGCATAATGGTGGCACTGTTTAAAATTTTGTTCATGGCACTGTTTAAAATTTTGTTCAATAGAAGCATAACAGGGATTTTTGTTCCCTATATTTTAATAGAATACAGTACACTTATATAGATAATATATATGCTATGTATCACATTTTAGATATGTATCAACATTTGAGTTGGATTAAGAAGTTCAAACTTCAAAATAAAACTCTTGTTTTTAAAGCTGCTGAAAAAGCTTTAAAAAAAACAGGCCTAAAAGTGCACCCATAGCCTATGACCAATTCTGTATAAAGACTTGTACCAATAGTCTTCATTAAACTACATTTTTATGTAGCCGTCCTATTTCTGGACATTGATTTGATACAGGACTTAACGATAGCAATGACTAGTCGGTTGGCAGTTTGAGTTTCCACTCCAGCAAATATTAAGGGTGTACTTTGTACCAGGTGTCAGACATAGACTAAGAATAAGACAGAAGTCCCTATCCCTGCCCTCAGAGTTCAGAGGGAGCATAGGAAGGACAAAGGTGGTGGGCGTACTCAGGAAAGCCTCCCTGAAGTGATGTCTGAGCCAACCCTGAAGTGAGGAGCAAGCACTGCAAATCAGTGTCCAAGGGGGAAGAGGAATCCAGCAAAAGGGAGGAGCCCAAGGCTGGACCATGATTGCAGCACAACAGACTTTAGAGTGGTTCTCAACCTTCCTAATGCTGCGACCCTTTAATACAGTTCCTCATGTTGTGGTGACCCCCAACCATAAAATTATTTTCGTTTCTACTTCATAACTGTAATGTTGCTACTGTTATGAAGCGTAATGTAAATATCTTGATATGCAGGATGTATTTAGGCAACCCCTGTGAAAGGGTCGCTCGACCCCCAAAGGGGTCGCGACCCACAGGTTGAGAACCGCTAGAGGGACCAACATGGAGGTGAGCAGGAGAAAGGGAAGAGGTGGAGGTAGAGCAGCACCTGTGGGCCCTGTGGTCCTTGCATTGGAGGGGCAGAAGCCTACTCACAATAGGGATAGTAACTCACAGGTCTGTTAAGAGGATCAAGTAAGAGAACTCTATCATGCTCCTGACAATAATGTTAAGCAGAATTATTGTTACTTATAAGTTAACCCAAAAGATGGAGGGCATGGAATATTTCCCAGCTGGTCTAAAGTGCAGATGCTTTGGGAAAGGTAAGAATGCTTTTCAATATATGAAAAGAAATAAGGGAGACATTTCAGTGGGGATTTCTTGATCCAAACTTGTGTATTTTTCTCAAACTATCTGCCTGTCTATGAGCTAGTTTGGGGTGCTCTTATCTCAAAACTGATGGTTATTTTTCCCTAAAGCCAAGCAAAATTGAGGTTTCAAATCGTAGTTATTTTCTAATTTTGAAATGTTAATTCCAACTACAGCTTGCCTACCTCAAAGTGATAGCAAACAACCAAATGAGTGAGCCAAGTAAGCCGGCTACTGAAAAAGTTGCCCACGTGTGGTTCAATAACTCTGTGGATGTATGTGAGAATGGCTTTCTGTATTTGAAATCATAAACAGACTCAGGTTTGCAGGGATAAAGTACCTCTGTGTGTTCGGCTTCCTACCAAATTACAGTCACAAAAAAGAAAATGTCCACTTTGGTGTACAAAGGTTTTCTTATTCTAGGCAACTTCCTCTTAGCCTTGGTTCAGAAAAGAATAACAGGCTGTTCTACGTTTCTAAGCTCTACGCTACCTTCACTTAGCTTTTCAGATTCTTTGTGGAATAAGATAGGATACAAGCAAATCAGCCAAACTGGCTTAGTGTCCTGCCAAGACTCAGAGGCACCTCTGGTTAGATCCTGCTCTCCGCTTCCAGCCTTCTTGTCCATTTGACTTTCTTACCTTGGCTTCGGATCCTGTACTTAATCCAATTTGCCCCTTTCATTTTCACGCTTGCCTTTGGAGATCCTGTTGTTCCGTCAATCCGTACATTTATTGAGCATCTATTGTGCCAGATTTAGGCACAAAGGGCTCTTTTCCTCTTTTCTGCACTAACCCCGCCTCCTTGCATCCCTAGGTTTCTGGGCACTTGGCAATCCCCTCGCCCTGCTCCTGGGGCTGGCCTTGTGAGGCAGAAGTGCATTAAGCATGCAGTTACAGGGAGGAGCCCAAGCTCAGATCATGTTGGGCCAAATGAAGATGAGCAGGTTTCAAGTCAGAGTCAGAGAGCCAGGAAGTCAGACACCGGGAGCGAAGATCACACAAAAGCAAATTACAGGGAAGAGGAGGAAATTAAACTTGAGCAGTTGTCTCAAACATTCATTAGTCTTTGAATCATGCCTTGCTAGAAGGTTGGCTTGGCTCAAATTGTGTTATTTATTGTCCTGCTATGAAATGTGGTTTAATAAATATTTTATTGGTGGCATTATTTTTTGAGATGTAGAAGCCATAATAAAGTTCTATTTTCTGCTGGTAAAATCATTCCTAGCTTGTATGATTTTATGTTGGAATTAAATACATCAGTAATTCACGGTGCTATGTAAAGGCCATCGTGATCTCCAAGTGTTTGGTCAATTTGATGAGTTGAAAACTGCTGTGAGGGAAACAATTTCAAGGCAAACAAGTTCACTGGAAAAAGATTCTAACTCAATTCAGAAATATTGTAAATGGTTATACCTCTAACTGAACTATGTCTTGAAGCTTTATGTTTAATTTTAACTTATTTGTGAGATTCATATATGTATGTGTGAAATGTGTGTGGTGTGTTTGGTGAAGCATCATATATTTCTAATTACAAGTTCAAAAGTCAGAATTAAATGTATAACTTACTCTGGTTTTGTATTGTAGTTGCTTCCTCTCACTTTCTATAATTATGTCGGCAGGAAGATAACCTTGTAAAATTAAGCCCCATGCAGTGACTGACTTTTCAATCATGTTTTTGCCCACGAGTGGTGGTTTTAAAACTATGTCCATAAATTCTTTGATCCTCCCCTCTTGGATAGGAAAGCCTGATTCCCCTCCTCTTGTGTGTGGACACGACTTGTGTCTAATGAACAGAATCAAGTGGAGTGGATGCAACAGTGTGCGACTGCAGAGACTAGTTGACCTTTGGACAACTGCCACCTAAGTGGGCTTGAAGTGGATCTCCTAGCCCAGTCAAGCGTTCAGGTGACTACAGCCCCAGACCCTATCTTTTTTTTTTCTTCTTTTTTCTTTTTTTTTTTTTACCAGCCACCTTTTATTAGGTGTTACATTACAATATGAAAGATTCAGAGGTGCTGGGCAAAGGTCATGGTCAGGAATGTGGAATCCACACTGGGCCCTCTTCAGTGGTACTTGCGTCGTCGCTCATGCTTTAGTTCCTTATAAGAACGGCAGTAGTTGAAAATCACATAAGCTGCCAGCACCATAGAAACCCCAGCAATGCCCCCTTTCTTCACATTGATGTACTTGTTGTAATACCTGTGGTAACCTCTTTGAAATGCTCCAGCAATGCCTTTAGGGGTGAAATCTCGCATCATTATCCAGCTTGGCAACTCCCCTAATTTGACTTCCATCAGTCTCTTCTCCTTCAATGGCACGACTGACGCCATCTTGGAGTCCGGGGTCCCCAGACCCTATCTTAACTTCAACCTGATGAGCGACCCGGGGCCAGAGCACCCAGCTAAGCCACTGCCAGATTTTTGACCAACAGAAGTCTGTGAGCTAATGTTTGTTGTTTCTAGCTACTAGGTTTTGGGAGTTATTTGTTATGCAGCAAGAGATGACTACTACACTAGGAGTCATTAATTTTCAACCAATGCCATTTATGCTATTAAGAGCAGAATGATGCAGCACTTCTTAATCAAATGCTCCTCTATTATGTCTAGGGATTTCCTTCATGCCAGTGACATTCTGTTCTGCAAGTTTCGCTGCAGATGTATGAGCAGTAATAACCACAACGGACATGCCTCTCTGCAGACCACAAATGTAAGACACACCCCAGTTTCAGATATTGCTAAAGTGTGAAAAGAGGTGCAGCACAGAATCGATGAGATACACGTCGAGCTATATTTACTATTTCCCTTCTGCTTCTGACAACCCCTTTCTTCACCAAGACTTTGATCTTGCCAATTGCAGTTTCGTTGACCATTTCAGAACAAAGCTACTGAGGTTCACAGAGAATTACCAGATTGCCCCCTCAGTTTATGTGAGGAGTGAAGGGCTTGGGTAGCTATAGGGAAAGACCCCTGGTGTGATCTGAAGGGATGCTTTAGTAACCCTAACCTTCCCAGCCCAGGCCACCCTTCCTGTGTCACAAAGAGGCATGCCCTCTTTGTAAGGGGCTGGGAATGCCGGGACAGTGGTGGGGGCTTCTTGGTGCTGGCAGGACTTGGGCCTTAAAAAGGACATGCTAATCCTTGGAGATGTGGGAATATTCCAGTTATGTGTGGTTCCCTATATCCTGGAACAATTCACTACCAGCATGTTAGGAATATAAACATATATTTAGCTAGAAAAGCAAGAATGCAAATAGTGCTTACTGGCTTAGGAAGAAACTTTTGTGATGTTACAATGGGGTATAATGTAAATATAAAGGATGTACTATATAATTAAATACAAAAGAAAAAGGAGACACTGTTCTCCTCAAATATCTCCACTAAATCAGCCATCACCTGTGAAAGGGCTTAGTAAACTGTTGACACCAGACAGATGCAATGCTTAATTACATACGTGGGTGATGCCTTCACTCTGGGAGGGACCTCTAATCCTCACTTAGTTCCCACCTGTGCGACTCTGAGCACCTTCTCTGCTGGCTCCTCATTTCTGATGTCAAGAAAAGGTTTAACAAGCAGGAATAGAAGTGATAATCTATAATAATAAAAGTGTAATATGGTAATTAGACCAGACATCCTTCTGGATGACCTTCCGGACAAAGCCACAGTGGGCAGCCAAGCCCCTTGCATGAATTTCGTGTATTGATTGGCTGCCTCCTGCACACCCCCTCTTGGGGATCGAGCCCGCAACCCAGGCATGTGCCCTTGGCCAGAATCAAACCTGGGACCCTTCAGTCCGCAGGCTGACACTCTATCTACTGAGCCAAGCCGGCTAGGGCGGGGGCCAAGCCCCTTGCATGAATTTCGTGTATCGGGCCTCTAGTGTTTAATACAATTCAGGGAAGATTCACAAAGGATTGTGCTTGTACCCCCTACAACTTCCCTCCCTTCCATGTTCTTTCGATGAATTTATTTAATCTCTAAATCTTCTTCTCTGGAACTAGTGCATCTAAAATAAAGCTTCCTTCTTGTTCTGATCGCCTGTAAATTTAATTAGGCTCTTTTTATAGATTTCTTTTTCCCGTCTCCCTTCAGAGGCTCTAACTCTTTCCCTGACTGAAATTGCTTGGGTCACAGAAGTCCTTTTCTTCCTGGCATTCTTTTTTTTTAGAAGGGCTTTTCTTTTTTCCCTTTTAAAAAATTTATTGGGGTGACATTGATTACTAAAATTACATAAATTTCAGGTACACAATTCTATAACACATCATCTGTATATTGTGTGTGTGTGTTCACCATCCCAAGTCAAGTCTCCTTCCATCAGAGGGCTTTTATTCAATTCAACAAATATTTGAGCAAAAATATTGCTAGAGGTCTAGGCTTGATGCTGCCGGGGATTTTAAAAAATGGCACGGTCCCGCCCTAGCCGGCTTGGCTCAGTGGATAGAGTGTCAGCCTGCGGACTGAAGGGTCCCAGGTTTGATTCTGGCCAAGGGCACATGCCTGGGTTGCGGGCTCAATCCCCAGTAGGAGGTGTGCAGGAGGCAGCCGATCAATGGTTCGCTCTCATCATTGGTGTTTCTATCTCTCTCTCCCTCTCCCTTCCTCTCTGAAATCAATAAAGAAATATATTTTTTAAAAAAATGGCACGGTCCCTTATCGTGCCTGCCTCCAAAGGGCTGAGTTACCAATAAGGAAACGTAAGAAAGCTGTGCAAATCACTACCATGCACAGGAGAGCACATAGACTTGTACAGGAAGAGATGAGACGGAGAGCTGGACGAGGATTTCCTCTCGAGAGCCGGCGGTGCTGCTGTCTGGCTCCCGGCCTCTGTCAGTCCTTCCCATTGCACCCCAGTATTTTCTCTCTAAATACAGGGGGAGGGGGGGAAGTAGTCTTACAGGTGTGAGTATGCAAAACACAGTTTATTCTTGGATTGTTATTAATTATTGCAGTATTTTCTACATGAACAACTGTAAACCTACTTTTGCCTCACCCTGTATTGCAAAATTATGCTTTTCTGCAAACCCATTGGTTTTTCTACAGCATTTCCCCCTTTAATTCTTAAATTCATGCTCATTCTCTGCAAAGATGCTTTAGGTCCCCCTTTTAAAAAAAAAAAAAAAGTCAAAACCAACAGTGGAAAGAAAACATAACTGTTATGTGTCTGCTTTGAGTGGTCTTTTTAAACATTTTATCTTTATTGTTGAAAGTATTACAAATGTCCCCTATGTTTGTTTGTTTGTTTGTTTTTCCCATTGAACCCCTCCACCCTCCCTTCCCAGGCCTTCACCACTCTATTGTCAGTGTCCATGGCCTATGCATATCTATACTAATAAAAGAGAAACATGGTAATTGGCGTACGACCGCTACCCTTCCCATTGGCTAATCAAGGCAATATGCAAATTAACTGTCAGCCAAGATGGCGGCCAGCAGCCAGGCAGCTTGAAACTAACATGAGGCTTGCTTGCTTCAGTGACAGAGGAAACCAACGTTCCCCACCCGCTGCTGCAGGCCTCTGAGCCTGCAGTTTCAAACATTGTAACAAATATAGACGCCAAAAAAACCCCCAGAAACCAGCTTTCAGCGAGCTGGGATCTCAGAGCTGGAGTCAGAGCTGGAGTTGATACAGAGTTTCAAGAACCGAAACAAACCAGATACCTACTTTCAGCAGCGGAGGCCTAAGAGCTGGAGCCTCAGAGCTAAAGCTGGCCCAGAATTAAAAAAAGAAAAGAAAAAAAGGAGCAGTTGGGAGTTTCAGTCCCAGCCTGAAAACAGCCCTCAGCCCCTCACCCAGACTGGCCAGGCACCCCAGTGGGGACCCCCACCCTGATCCAGGACACCCTTCAGGGCAAACCAGCCGGCCCCCACCCATGCACCAGGCCTCTATTCTATATAGTAAAAGGGTAATATGCCTCCCAGCACTGGGCTCAGCGGAGCCGCAAGGCCTCCCGGCACCGGGATCAGCATGACAGGGGGCAGCGCCCAAACCCCCTGATTGCCCTGCGGCTCTGTGTGTGACAGGTGGCGGGGCCACAACCTCCCTATCGGCCCTGCTCTGTTCATGACAGGTGAAGGCGCCCCAACCCCCTGATCGGCCCTGCTCTGTGGGTGATAGAGGGTGGCGCCCCACCCCCCCACCCCCCCCACGGGCCCTGCTCTGTGTGTGATGGGGTAGAGCCATAATCTCCCCATCGGCCCTGCCCTGAGTGTGACAGTGGTGGCGCCCCAACCCCCTGATCCGCCCTGCTCTGTGTGTGACGGGGTGGTGTGCCAACTCCCCTATTGGCCCTACTCTGTGAGTGACAGGGGGGAGCTCCCCAACCCCCTGATGGGCCCTGCTCTGTGCGTGACAGGGGGTGGCGCCACAACCTCCCCATCGACTCTGCCTTGAGTGTGACAGGGGGCGGTGTCCCAACCCCCCAATCGGCCCTGCTTTGAGCCCAACCAGGGGCTGCACCTAGGGATTGGGCCTGCCCTCTGCCACCCGGGAGCAGGCCTAAGCCAGCAGGTCGTTATCTCCTAAGGGGTCCCAGACTGCGAGAGGGCACAGGCCGGGCTGAGGGACCCCCCCTCCCCCCCGAGTGCACAAATTTTTGTGCACCGGGCCTCTAGTCTATAATAATAAAAGCATAACATGCTAATTAGACCTTCCAGATGAAGCTGGGGCTGCGAGGGAAGCCGGTGCCGGCAGCCGGAGGAAGGCCTACTCTTGCACAAATTGCATTCATTGGGCCTCTAGCATGCATATAATTCCCCAGTTAATCCCATCCCCACCTTCCCTCTAAAATTTGTCAGTCTGTTCCATGCTTCTGTGTCTCTGGATCTATTTGTTCATCAGCTTATTTTATTCATTAGATTCCACATATGAGTGAAATCACATGGTACTTGTCTTTGTCTGATGGCTTATTTCTCTTCCCATAATGCTCTCCAGGTCCATCCATGCTGCTGCAAATGGTAGGAGCTCCTTCTTTTGCTTTGAATGGGCTTGACCTTCCCATTGACATTCCTTCCTGTGACTTGCATGGATGTGTTTTCAGTGGCATGTCACCCTTCTCTGCCGACCCTGTGATGTGTCTGAGGACCTAAACAGCAGCTCCCTGTCGCAGTTGCCCTTCATCCCCTTGTTTCTGTGTCTGGATATCTCTGAAATCTAGCTAATAAAATTCCTCAAATCACATGTTTTTCTTTTTCTCCTTTCAAAATCTTAAGTTGACTTCAGTCGAGGGCTTGTTCAAGAATAAAGTCCCTTTAATGTTTAGCCACACTTTTTTTAAAAGGTAATAAAGGCTTGTAATTCATGGGAAATCATGTTCGTTTATATGTAGTGGGGGCATCTGAGAGAAATACCCGTCAATGGACATGCCCTCCCCTCGCCCCCCCCCCCCCCCCTTCCCTCAGGAACAGAGCCCAGAGTTTGCTCAGGCTCCTCCTAGTGGCCATATCCGCAAGAGGAGGCCGGTGCTGGATCTTGAGAAGCAAAGCTCACCTGGGAGGTCTCATCTCCCTTGACAAATGCAAGGCTGAGACATGGGCACGATATGCAATTCTAGGCAGTCAGGTGTAAGGGGAAGACTCCCGGGAGGTTTTGGAAAGTTTTCTCCGTTCAAAAATGAAGACGTTCCCTGTTCCTGCCTCTGAACATTGTCACCTACACGGAGTGCCAGAAAGCATCATTACCACTCGGCAACCATGAACAGAAACTCACTGAGCTCTTGAGACCGCAGAAAGCGATGTGAGCAAGTCTCAACCCGAGTCACTGAATTAACTAACCGCCGACTTCACTACAACCAGACCTGTCGTGTGAGATGACAACCGTCTTCAGTGCAGGCCACTGTGAGATGGGTTTTTTGTGCACTGCCCTGGAGTGCACAGCCTCCTCTCTCGGACTATGCCCTGTGCTGGAACACACGCGCGCGCACACACACACACACACACACACTCACACACACACACGGTGAAGTGACTGTCCATCTCCTCTGCTGCTGCCCTTTACTCTTCTCCCCAGGGCGCTCTTCTCGCCTTTATTACCAGAGACCTTCCTGTTCTTTTAAATCTCCTGTTCATCAAATGTGAAGACTTGTGCAATTGGATCATTGACCCTCACGGAGGAATTGTGTGCTTGAAGCAATGGTTGAGGGGATTTTAGGCATAGCAAACGGTTGAGGAAGCTTTTTATGGAGACTGGAAATCATCTGCTCCTCTTACATGTGAGGCTGGACCTGAGGGCTACGTCTGAATTCATCCTTGGAGGTATTCAGCAGGAATCTACTTTCCCAGAGGAGAGACTGAATAAAGTTATTTAACCTCTCTCAGTCTCAGAACCCACTGATTCCATCCTTTTTACTGTCCCTTCACCCCCTCAGATACTCATCTCACTACCCAGATGAGACACTATATTAAAATATTTTTCCAGCTTTATCCTATATAATAAAAGCCTATTATGCTGTGTCCAAATGTTTGTTCAACCTTTGGACCAGTCCCTATGACATGCACTGACCACCAGGGGGCAGACGCTCTGACCAGTAGGTTAGCTTGCTGCTGAGGTCCAGGAGATTGGGACTGAGTGAGACAGACCAGACATGCCCTGGAGCCCTCCCACAGTCCCTCTCAGGCCCCAATTGTGTGCCAGTGGGGTCCATTGGCCTGGCCTGTGCCCTCTCACAATCCAGGACCCCTTGGGGGATGTCTGTCCGCAGGCCAGGTCATGGGACCCCACCAGTGCAGGGCCTCTAAATGGGATATAACTGACATAACATTGGGTAAATTGAAAGTGTACAATATGATAGTAAGATAGCAATCCTGTTCCAGATAAGGAAACCAAGGCACCGAGAAGGCAGGTCGCTGAGATTACATACACTTAGTACCTAGTAGAGGTGGAATGCAGGCCCAGTTGGTCTAGCGCCAGCCTGGCCAGTACAAACCCAGCTTATACCTGGATTAAAAGGTGCTGGGGTCCAACCCCAGCAGGTCCAGGGGTCCCCAAAGGTGTGGATGGAGTCGGCGAAGAGGGAAAGACTCGGAGGCAGCGTTCAGTTGATCAGCATGGTTGGGTTCTCTTGCCTGGTTCTATTGGTTCTGTTGCTAGGTTCTGTCCAGGTTCTGTTGCCATGTTCTCTCGCTAGGTTTTCCAGCCAGGTTCTGTCGCCAGGTTCTGTCCAGGTTCTTTTACCATGTTCTCTCTAGCGAAGTTCTTCTGTCTCTAGGTTTTGTCTAGGTTCTATGTCTAGGTTCTGTGTGTAGGTTCTGTCTCCAGTTTCTGTGTCTAGGTTCTGTCTTCTAAGTTCTGTCTAGGTTCTGTTTCCTGTTGTCTTGTGACATCTGTATTTATACCAGTTGATTCCAATCCTATCAATCTCTATTCCAAAGGTTAGGGCGTTTCTTATCTCCATTTCAGGGAGTAAAGATTATGTAGCTTAGGCATGATTGTTCGTAGTGAAAGTGATTAATTACCCTCCTGGCACTTAGTTAAGGGGTTTTATTCCCTCCCTAACTTCAGGGGAAAATCCCTACCTGGGGAAACAACCTTTCTCAGAGAGGAGACCTTGGTTAAAACACATAGTGCCAAGAAGGTGAGCAAACTTATTAAGAACAGTATGCCATATATGCCAGGTCCCTTGAAACAGCAAGGATGGACTGGCTCCCGGCAAAAAGGAACCTGGTCTGCCTTTTCCTGGTGTAGTTCCAGCATCGACAGCAGTGCTAGGCACTTAGTTGGCATTCAGTAAATATTTGTGGAGCAAATAAATAAACTCAGCACAGTACATGGCCCTTGTTGATTGGTACTTAATAAATGTTACCTATTATTAAGGAAAAGTATTGAAAATGTGGGAATTGGGTAAAAGAAAGGCAGCATGTCTTTTCGGTGTCACATTTTAACATTGTTTAACTGGTCCACCAAAGGATTACTTAATTATGTAGGGAAATGTACCTTTCTTGACTTGTTATCTACTGTTGATTACGAAGCCAGACTCTGTCAAGTAATATTTTTATTTTTGTTCACTACAGATGTAGATTACATTTCTGAAATATAAATTACTCCAAAAAAAGAACCCCCTCCAGAAAAGTTAAGATTTTATCGTCCTTGAGGGCATTAAAAAGTATTTTTCTAGCTTAGCAATCTTCTTCCAACAGACTTTCTCCACTGCCTATAAATCTCTTTCTAATTCTCGTTGGAACCAACTTCTTCATCTTGTTGGTTTCCTCAGTACTGAGCTTAATGGGACTTTGACATGTCCATTCTATATTTGGAGTTACTTATGTAGCTTTTTGAAACTTGTACTTTAATATTTGCACTACTATCTGACTTTTTCTGCTGAATCTGAAAGTCATTTTTCACTTTCAATTTAATACAACTCTTATTTACAGAATTCCTGTTACTCGGGGGTCGGGGACGCAAAGCTGGAATAAGCAGCACTGTGAGGTGTCTGCAGGGATTCCCAGACATGCAGCTAGTAGCCCCTGGAGCCCCGAGCACCATAAAGGCTTTCCAGGGGCCTGTGTTAATTCAAGATTCTGATCACGTAACTAGAAAAGCGTGTAGGTAGGTGTCTACAAGAGACAATTAATATTCCCCCAAAGAAAAATTGTTGAGGCTCTGGATCTTGCTGGAAACACCTGTTTATCAATAACCAGTTATAAAATGGATTATTGAGGGCAATACTCCTTCATAGCTCTTGTGGGAGGCGTGGGGGTTGACGTTTTTACAGGTAAACCTGGGCCACAGCGTATGGTGAGACCACCACAATCAAGCCAGGTGTCCCCTTTTTGCTGGAGGGGTGTCTTGCCTTCCATTTGTAAAACACTCAACACCTGTGAAGAGCAATCAACTCCACCCAAGATGGTACTGCTTAAACCTCAGCAGTTAATCCGTGCGGGGCAGTGATTCGTCCTCATCGGCAGCGCGGGGACTCGCAGTGGGCGGAGAAGCCGAGGACACGCCTCTCCCCCCATCGGGTTTGAGGCCCAGAGCCCGAAGCCCCGCCCCACCGCGCTCACTCCGCCCCCAGCGGGACGGGGCGGGGACTCCGTCTCCCGGGAAACGGGACGCGCAGCTCAGCTGGACCCGCGCCTCCCGCCAGGCTCACTGCGCGCCGACGCCGGCTGCCCAGTAGCCGCAGGTGGGGACGGGCGGGCGCGCGCTCGGTGGTCGCGAGAGGATTTGGGAGCCTCCAGGGGCGCCTCTGCGGAGGGGTGTCCTCGCCCTCCTGGGGCTGGGCAGGGGCGCTCGGGCAGCCGGCCAGCTCCGCGTCTCCTGGACGTGCCCGATGGCAGCCCCGGTGGTCGCTCGGGAGGCGCGAGGCGAGCGAGAAACCCCGGCCCTTCGCCTAACCCCGGGTGCCGGCCTGGAGGCAGCGGGCGTGCTGGAGCTGGAGCTGGAGGAGGAGGAGGAAGGGGAGGAGGAGGAGGAGGAGGAGGAGGAGGAGGAGGAGGCGGCGGCGGCGGCCAGGAGAGCTCGGAGTTTCGCCCAAGACGCGCGTGTACGCTTCCTCGGCGGCCGCCTGGAGCAGATGCTGGGGCTCCCGGCGGAGAAGTGGCGCCAGCACTTGGAGAGCGAAGACCGCCGGCGGGTCCTGGCGGAGTTTGTGGAGAGCCCCAGCCCCGCCTGCCTGGTGTTCGGCGTCGCCGCCGCGGGGCGGCTCGCGGCCTCCCGGGAGGTGAGGAGCGAGCGGAGGGGACCCGGTCACGCCGTCCGCCCAGCGTAACGGGGACTCGGGCGGGGACAGGCCCGTAGTCCCTGCTTCGGTTTCTGGAGGGGGAGGGGGGGCAAACTCTCAGGCCCTTTAAAAAGCGTTTTCTAAGTCCTCCCTGGAGTCGGCAGAACCCCCCAGATGCGCCCACGCTGCCATTAGCGGCTGTAGGTGGTTTCAGGAGGTCAGCTCTGCAGCCTGCTCCACCCGATGAAGCGGGACCAGCGGAGCTTCTCCCGCTGCCTGGGCGTGGGCGCAGGGTGGCTTCGGTGCCAGGTAACTTCCGTGGCATCGCTCCTGGGTCACTCTGGAGCCCCTTCCTTAAAAATGTGTCTGGCAGAACCCCAATAACTCGACTGCCGTCACCCCACTTCATCCCGGGGAAGAATACGTGTCCCTTAAAAAGGAGTGCGGGTCGTCTGCGCAAACGCGGTGTTTACCAACCATGGGGGGCATGGGGGGG